CGGAATCCACCACATAAAAACTATTACTCAGAAGGCAAGTATGATTTCAGAAGTTTCCACTTCTTTGTTATCTTTCTGACAAACGTTGGAATATTTGAGATCCATTTCAACAACCATCATCAGTGCCAAAATCTAATGAAAGAACATTTCATGCCCATTTTCTCTATTATGTCATCTGCACGATATTAAAATTAAACTTCCAGTGAAATTCCCATTGTTGCACAATCACTTCGTGTGCCCACTTGATCCTTCAGTCTTTCATTTGTTCGGTATGGGATTCAGAGGTTAGCAGTTAAACATTTATAGGGCTTGAGTCACTGTAGCAAATAACTAGAATACTACACAGACTGAGGCTAGAATACTGCACTACTTCGATGCAGGAGAGACAACAGGAATGGGGGAAGCCAATATAGGGGAATAGCTGTTGCTCAGGGTTTAAGTGTGGAGTCCTTGATGCTCTCTGAGTTTGGTGGTTTTCTTGCAGATATCTCATCGTCCAACTAGGTAACAGCATCAGTGCTTGAAGGGAGTGGGGGGAGGAGGAGGAGGAGGAGGAGGAGGAGGAAGGACAATGACAATGACAACGACTGTGGGTCCTTGGTGCTCTCTGAGCTTGGTGGTTTTCTTGCAGACATCTCATTGTCCAACTAGGTAGCATCATCAATGGTGATGATGCTACCTAGTTGGCCGCTGATGATGTTACCTAGTTGGGTCATGAAACATTTGCAAGAAAACCACCAAGCTGAGAGCACCAATGTCCCCTCAGTCCAACCCTACTGAGCTACAGAGATTATCTTCTATTGGAATCACACATGAGCACCAAACACTTCAAAAAGTATAGGAATGGGAAATATTTGCATGCAGGCAAACCTCCAACCCACTATGCTTCCTGCACAAATGCCTATAAACAGAGGGCAACCCACCTAGTCCCTTCTAGCACGGCTGATATTGCCTCATCGGGTCCCAAAACATGTGCAAGCACACAACCAAACTCAGAGAGCACCGAGAATTCTGAAGTTCAACCCTGAGCTGCAGAAATTCCCTTCTATTAGAAAACCAGTTTTCCCTTAGTTAAACATCCTTGGTTCTAAGAAACATTCCTGGGCTTTGCATTTCCCTTTCTCCCTGTTCTGGATTTCCGGCTTAAGGAAACCAACAAGCTAATAGTTCTAAGTTTACATTTTGTTATGGAGGAGAAGAGAAGCTAAACAGTCAAAGGGGAAGACAAGGGATGGACATCTTCCCTCCTTCCTTCTAAAACTGGTGCTTCCTGGAATGAATTGAGACGGAAGGGGAAGCTAAGCCAATGCAACATTTCTAGTCTGCCACTCAAATCCTTCCTCTGACTCAAGACGTCAATAGCTGAAGAAGAGACCAAAAGAAAAATCTATATATATAAAAGTGAAAGGCCCCTCATGCATCATCAGAAAATCTCTACAAAGCGTAAAGCCTACAAACATGCAATTTGGCACGTATGTTCCTCTTGGCTTCTAGGGGCTCACTAAGAAAGGATTTTTCAAAATGACCATCACAGCATTAGTATCAGAGGTGGTATTCAGCAGGTTCTGACCAGTTCTTGAGAACCGGTAGTGGAAATTTTGAGTTCAGAGAACCGGTGGTAACCTTCCCGCAGGAGTGGGGAGGGAATGGAGATTTTACAATATCCTCCCCTGCCATGCCCACCAGGCCACACCCACCAAGACACATCCACAGAACGCTACAGGGGTGGGATTCTACCAGTTCGCACCTATTCACTAGAACTGGTTGTTAACATTCTAAGCAGTTTGGAGAACCGGTTGTTAGAAGAAATTACTGGGCTAATCCTGTAAGGAAGGCAGGAAAGAAACATTCTGGTGTTGCTTACAGAAACTGCCTCTCTGTTAACCCTGATTACATTCTTGACAGGACTAGACTTCCTGTCTCAGGAACTTCTCTGGAGTTATTTTTCCCTCCTTTGCTGGTAGTTTGCTTGTGTGGAGTGGACCATTCAAAGTTACAATGGCACTGCAAAAAGTGACTTATGACCATTTTTCACACTTACGACTGTTGCAGCATCCCCACAGTCATGAGAGGCCAGACGAGGTGATGCGTGCCTCGATGTGAATGATATTGAGTTGGCCACGCCCAGCCAATAACATGAGCACCAAGCCATGTCCACCCAGTCACATGACCACCAAGCCATGTCCACCAACTAAGCCACGCCCACAGAACCAGTTGTTAAAAAATTTGAATCCCACCCCTGGAACGCTAGTAAAAAAATTTGAATCCCACCACTGATTAGTATTTCCTATATTATTATTATTATTATTATTATTATTATTATTATTATCATCATCATCATGCTCTGATGTTAAGGAGTTCTACTCACCCTCCCCACCTGGAAAGAAATCTGTTCCAAATGCAAAACACAAGCAGAGGATTTTCCGTTTCCGTTTCCATTTCACAGCACCAAACGGCTTCAGTACAGAACACTTGAGCTCAGCTGCTGCGCATGGCTGGCTCATATTTAAGTGATTACCAAGGTTATCAATGATGATCAAATGATCCCAGGATGGTTCAACAATCATAAATACATGCCAGTTGCCAAGCATCAGAATTTTGGTCATAAGTGCAATGGTCATAAGTGTGAAAAACGATCGTGGGTCACTTTTTTCAGTGCCTTTGTAACTTTGAACGGACAAATGGTCGTACGTTGAGACTATCTGTAATTCGGTGTGAAAGATCGGAAAGGTTGCCTGAAGGTCAAATGCTCACCTGTTTGGAGCCATTGGTTAGGCAAAGGTGTGGATATGGACAGGTGCGTTTTGCCCCCAGCCCCTTTGCAGGAATCACTGCACCCTCACTGCTTCTGTTCCGGGCACTCCCACCTGGCTAACAGAAGGAAAGATTTTTCCTTCTGTCCGGCCTGCAAGGCCCGTTGCACCCCCAGAACCAAAGGGAGTTGTGCGGTTTTGCACCGAAGGCGTCCCACATCTCTGTACCCCACTGCAACCTCAAGGGCCGATGCTTGAAAAGAATCTCAGCCAGGCTCTGCATGTTTAAAAGCAGCCCAACTGCAAAATCCCCGGAGGACAGAACGATTATTTATGATTCCTCAAGAAAAGAGGCTTCTGGTAGGTCTTTCAGCCAAACCATGAAGGGATCCAGCTGTTTTGTTCAAATCGGGGCACCGCCACAGCAGGAGGAAGAATTGTTCGCTTCTCAAAGTGCTTAATATTTCAACAATTTAACAATTGCATCCCACTAATGCAGGGCCCAGTGGCTAAAACCCTGAGCTTGTCGATCGGAAAGCTCAGCAGTTCGGCGGTTCGAATCCCTAGCACCACATAACGGACTGAGCTCCCGTTACTTGTCTCACCTTCTGCCAACCTAGCAGTTCCAAAGCATGTAAAAAATGCAAGGAAAAAAAATAGGGGCTCCTTTGGTGGGCAGGCAACAGCGTTCTGCGCGCCTTCGGCATTTAGTCCTGCTGGCCACATGACTACGGAGACGTCTTCGGACAGCGCTGGCGATTCGCTTTGTAACAGAGACGAGCCGGAAACGACTAGCACATCTGTGTGTGTGCCAGGAGAACCTTTTTACCTAATGCAGGGTACCACTTGCTTAGCCATTTGGGGATCCCAATAAAAGTATATCGGGATGAAACCTAGCTGCTACATGCTACCTGGACCACTAGGAAATCACAGGATTGCAGGCTGGCAGCCCATAAGAGTGGGGAGAGGAATCCAATCAACCTTCTCAGAAAAAAATAAAAATAAATAAAAACCAAAGTTGGCAAACCACTTCCATATTTCCCAGAAGAAAGTTCTTCAGAAAGAGGGGAAGATTTGCTCCCAGATCCTACCTGATATGAAGAATCCACACAGCCGGGAGGCTGCAGGAGTGGCAAAGTTTTGTGACAAGAAGCAACAAGATTCTGCTTTGGGGAAATTTCCAGGCCGGCCGCTGGGCAGGCTGCCATTTAGTTTCCTCCAAGTATTCTGGGATGACAAATATCTCCAGAAAGGAAATTAAAGGGTGAGGGAACCAGCTGCCCAGACCTAGCAGAGTTTTCTCAGCTTTCCCCACCCAAAGCCAGGCAGCAAAGGTGTTTGCTAGGCTCCGAGGGTGCCCGGAGACATGCTGTTTTGGGTGCAGATATTGGTGTAATAGCAACTCCTTAGGGTGTTATAGGTAGTCCTCGGCTTACGGCCACAATTGAGCCCAACCTTTCCATTGCGAACTCCCTAGGGCAGGGGTCTCCAACCTCGGCAACTTTAAGACTTGTGGACCTCAACTCCCAGAAGTCCACAAGTCCTAAAGTTGCCAAGGTTGGAGACCCCTTGTTCTAGTAGATGCCTTCTCACCACTACCCAAACTTGCCTCTACGACACTAGCGTGTAGTGTAGCGTCCATCCCAACCCAACCTTAGAGAAAGCTGAGCTTTCTCCTTTTCCCCACTGCCCGCGGGCGTAATTTAGGTTGTAAGAGTGAGATCCAGGAAGATTGTGGAAAGTAAAGATACAATAGGTGGTGAAAGAAAGTGAAACTTTATTAGGGACTTTCCTGTTCTATAGGTAAACAATTTACATTTAATCTGGAATTATTCTGTTGGGGCACAACGACAAACTTTACGAAAACAGGGGGTTAATCTACTCTTGGCTGGCCAGTTCCCACTTTCACGTGTTGTATATTTTAAAGAAGTCATCAAGTTAGACTGCCACCCAGTTTGCTGGTTGCTAAACTAACCTAAGTTACCAAAATCGGGTCAGCCAAAGCTTCAAAGCTGCATTCTCACGACCCTTGGCTAGTTCGGATGGATATTTTAGCCCGTCGGAACACTTTCTGCCACGTGGGAACCCCCATTCCTAACCGGGTCCAGCGGGCTGTGCGGACGCACATTAGCTAAAACCCGGGTATGGGCTGAAGCGCGCCGCTTCCCACGGTCTCTCCCCGAAGGATGCTGGTTTGGGGACACCTCTCCCCCCAACGCCCACCCCACCCCCCAAATCCAGCCTCACCTGCCACCGCCGGGATGGGCCCCTTGCAAGCGACCGCCAGCGCCAGCAGCGCCAGCAGGATCCGTCCGACATCAGGCATGGTCCCGCCGCCGAGAGCGGGGCGTCCTCGGGGCACCCCGAGGGCACCCCGACGGGCCACGGTCGCCTTGAGCCGGTGCGGCGTCTGGGGGGCTTCTCGGTCTGAATTGCCTTCTCTCCGCTTGCTCCGCTGCTGCCGTTTGCTGGCACCGGCGCCGGTTGGAAACTCCGCGCGGATCCTGCCTGGGTTTTTTTTGGTCTGTGTGTGCTGACGTCACGGGGGGGGGGAAGGGCGCGTGGTACAGGCCCCCAAGGCTCCCTCCCTCCCCCCTCTCTAAACGGGGATCCCGTAACGGGGGCTGGAACGACTCCAGGGAGGGCGGGGTGGCCGGAGCACCGATGCGGAGCAGCTGGACTCGAGCAACGGGAAGGAAGGCGAAGAAAACTTTGCAGCCGGGGTCCCAAAGGTGATTTTTTAAAATATTTTTTTTAATTTATACGTTTTTCTTTAGTAAACTTAAAAACTCAATATCTACCTGAACAGAAGTGTTGTCTGTCTACAGTTAGTTTTGGGGGGGAAATAGAAATAATAATATACACAGCATCGATAATAGCAATTGGACTTATGTACCACTTCACAGTGCTTTCCAGTCCTTTTCTAAGCGGTTTACAGAGTCAGCCTCTTGCCCTCAACAATCTGGGTCCTCATTTTACCCATCTCGGAAGGAGGGAAGGCTGAGCCAAGGATTGAACTTCTGGCAGTGAGCAGAGATAGCCTGCAATACTGCATTCTTAACCACTATGCCATCATGGCTTTTAGATAGATAGATAGATAGATAGATAGATAGATAGATAGATAGATAGATAGATAGATAGATAGATAGATAGATAGATAGATAGATAGATAGATAGATAGATAGATAGATAGATAGATAGACAGGCAAGCAGGCAGGCAGGCAGGCAGGCAGGCAGGCAGGCAGCAATAGCCCTTAGACTTATATATCGCTTCACAGTGCTTTTACAGCCTTCTCTAAGCAGTTTACAGAGTCAGCCTCTTGCCCCCAACAATCTGGGTCCTCATTTTACCCACCTCGGAAGGATGGAAGGCTGAGTCAACCTTGAGCCAGTCAGAATCAAACTCCTGGCTGTGGGCAGAATCAGACTGCAGTATTGCATTCTAACAGGAAGGAAAGAAGGAAGGAAGGAAGGAAGGAAGGAAGGAAGGAAGGAAGAGCAATAGCACTTAAACTTATATACTGCTTTACAGTATTTTTACAGCCCTCTCTAAGCAGTTTTACAGAGTCAGCCTCTTGCCCCCAACAATCTGGGTCCTCATTTTACCCACCTCAGAAGTACGGAAGGCTGAATCAACCTTGAGCCTGGTGGGATTCAAACTGCCAAATTGCAGTAGGAGAAGCTTGCAGTACTGCACTCTAACCACTGCACCATGGAGGTAATATAATAAGAAAAGATAATAAGATAATAATCACACAGTAAGAGTAATATTAGTAAACCTTCATGATAGAGTTAATCATTCTCTTAACATTTTGGGTACGGTGATTTTTTTCAGAGCTGAAAAAGCTTCTTGGATGAGTCCAGTTGCCTGCTGAAAAAAACTCCTTTGGGGCAACCAGGACTTGGAGGACTGAGAATGTCCATGGACATTTGCAGCCAGTGGTCGTGGGAAGGGGACAGGACCAGTGGTGGGATTCAAAAAAATGTACTACCGGTTCTGTGGGTGTGGCTTGGCGGGCATGGCAGGGGAAGGATCATTTTTCCTGCTCTTTGTACTCTTTCTAGAGTCTCAATATAATTCTTTTTCCTGGTTAGTCTGTTGTTTTTGTTTTGCTCCAGAGTCCTTCAAGGGTTGGAGCAGGCAAAAAACAAGACGTTCAGATGTCAGTTCCAGGAATTATGTTCTTATGTCGGTTAAACATAATTTTAAAATACTCTTAATCTGGATGCAGGGTTTCTGAGTTGGGTGGTTTTTCAGACGCAGGCCTGATTAGTCTGTCCCCTTGCTCCATTCTGGAATGTTATTAGAGACATCCAAAATGTGTTGGTTTGCATTCGTAACCCTCTCGTCTGATTTTCCTACTTTTCACTCCTAAGAATAAAATGGTGTTTACAGCTACTCTAGTGCTGTCCTTAACCATCATATGACAAGGAACTGTCTGCCTGGAAGCTCTTACAGTAACCAACGTCAGATGTGCTAAAATGTTTTGCAATAACCTGTTACAAAGGATCCACCTTTTTTAACAAGTCTGCTTCTGTTCAGCAGTCAAAGCATTCAGGTTTCCTCTGGAATCTCATAAATATGAATCAAAAACAAAGAAAAACCTTTTTCACAAAATCTCCTGCAAAAATTTAGATGTCCACCACTAATCCATTCAACGAGGCGAAATGCCTGCTTTGTGGTAATTCTGTAGAGTTGTGTATGTTAGGATTTCTCCAAACACTTAAAAAAAACTTTTTTCAAACCAGTTGGGTAGAAAAGAGAATTAAAAGAAGTGTTTGTGATTAAAAACGAAAATGAGAGCCATTTACTAGCATCTGGAAGAGATGGGGATAATTTTGTGGGGAAAATATGTAGAAACATTGCACTGAGCAGGCAAGAACGAAAGGATGGTAGTTTTTTAAACACACTGATCCATCCTAATTCAGACAAACAGGAAGTAAAATTTAATCACCAATGAAGAATGTTAAAATCCAAAGGATCAAAAGAGCCGTCAATTTGAGGTCAATGTCAGCCAATCAACAAAGTGACAGGCAAGAAAACCAGACCCTGCCTTAAATCAAGCTGACAGACCCTCTACCGTGGCTCTCAGTCCTGGAGGATCATTTTTCCCAGGTGGGTAGATTTCAGTGCCCTGAAGTTCTCCTCCAGGCTCAAGGAAATCTGGGAGCTGAAGTCCACAGAATTTCAAAAAGCTGGACTCCATTGAGGTTCCTCAGGATTTCCACAGGAGAATTCAAAGGCTGAATTGGAAATTCTCTGCACAAAAAATTGTGAGGAACACAACATATGGCCAAAATAGGGACCAGAAATTTCATCGCTAAAGCAAGGTGGTTGTCGAACAAGTCATGCCCCGTTTTATGACCTCTTGTGCCATGGTTGTATAGCATACCACTGCAGCTGTTAAGTGAATCATGCTGTCGTTAAACAGATCCGACATCCCCCATTGACTATTTTTAGTAAGCCAGCTGGAAAGGCGGCAAACGGAACCATATGACTCCAAAATGGGCAAGGGCAGGGGTGGAATTCTACCGGTTTGGACTGGTTGGAGGGAACTGGATGTTAAGTTTTCGTCTGGTTCGCCAAATGGGTATTTCAACCAACCGTCTGGCCCCGCCCACCCCTCCCAGGAGTCTCCGATGCAATGCAGGTAAGTGCAGGGTCCTCATGGAGTCTCTGGGAGGGGGAAAATGGGCCGGCTTGTTTCTGGCTTCCGGAGGGCCTCCAGAGCCTGGGGGAGGCCGTTTTCACCCCCTCAGAGGCCTTTTTTGGAAGGCGAAAAATGGCCCTCCCGGAAGGCCACACCCACCCGGCAACTGGGCATGAACCAGTTGTTGGGATTTTTTTAATCTCACCCCTTTGCAAGGGAATGAATTTTGATATGACCATGGAATGGTCATAAGTGCAAGGACCGATAGTAAGCCACTTTTTTTGGGGGGGGGGGGGGGGTAAATTTTATTGGTTTTTAAAGACAAACATAAACATACAAAACATATAAACATCAAACTTTCTTCCATAAGTATGTAAGCAGTGTGCCGGTTGGTTTACACATTTTTTTGTGCATCCATAGTCTTCAGTTACAGTTACATTGCATAATAGCTCATATTATCAATCAAAAATTGAACACCCTAGTATCATTATTAATCATTTGACAATAATTTTACTCATTCATATTTTGCAAGATAACTATAATTTACTTAGTTTATTTTATAACAATTCATATCATCCTCCCAAATCTATCCTAAAATCATTTTGTAGATATAATAAAAAAAGAAAAAAAATACACCTTTTTATATTTATTATTTTCTAAAATTCTGCATATTTCATTATTGTATTTTATTATCTAACCATTGATAGAAAAGGTCCCAAGCCACTTTTTGGTTGTTGTTAGTGCCATTGTAACTTTGAACAGTCGCTAAACACATGGTTGCAAGTCAAGGACTGCCTAGAGATGCCCGTTTTATTTCTGCCACTCCACTTTTGAGTCTTCTCTACACGACTGAAATTCATTTTGTTTGTGCCACAGGTATCTGGAAAAAAAAACCCTTGCCATTGATAATATAAAATTTGGAAGCCTTAGCACCAAGGCACCCGAGCTTCTTCTCACAACCTCATTCAATCCCCAACTTCGCCTGCTCTGGATTTTTCTTCAAAATGTGGGTTTTTAAAATTACAAGTCAAAGAACGGGAGACTAGCATCTTGCAAAGCAAGCCATACCAAATCCCTCTTGACTGTTTACATCGGAAGTGTCAAACTTAAGGCCGTGGACCATATCCAGCTTGCAGAGTGCTTAGATCTGGCCTGCAAACAGCGAAGGACCGGCCGGTGGTGCCTCTGCCAGTGAAAACGGAGCTCGGGAGAGCCATGGGCAGCCCTCCCAAGCTCCGTTTTCACTGGCAGAGGGTTGCAGGAGGTTGTTGCAGCTGAAAATGGAATTTGGGAGCCCATTTTCACTGGCAGAGTGTTTGTGCCACCACATGAGTGACGTTGAGCTCCCCCTGGCCATGCCTGGCCCCCTGGCCCCCCAAGGTCAAACACAACACTGATGCAACCCTCGATGCAATTGAGTTTGACACCCCTGGTTTACAAGAATGTTTATCTGCTGCAGACAGGTTTCTCCAGGCATTTAAAATAATGGCCGGTGTCTTGCAGTTCAAGATTCTGCTTGTTTGTTCTGTTTGTTTTTTTAAAAAAAGGTGCAAGGATTTATAAAGCCACCCAAAGAATGTGATTCTGGGCCAAAGATGGGTGCGCTGAAGACGTAACCCAATATATGAAAGAACACGCTGAAGGAGACAATTAAAGTGAGCAAGAGGGAAAATAGCCAAGTCTTTTATCACTTTGCTGTGAAGCACTTAAAATTGTGACCTGTTGTGTATTTAGGGGAGATGGTTCCAGAAAGAGGGGCTGCCACCCAAAAGGGACTTGTGTCCAAAAATGCCTTTGTGTACCCAGATGAAGATTATGCAGG